GCAGACCAACGTGTGATGGCGGGTGGACCGACAAAGAATGCTGGTAGGTCACCAGTTTGTAGACTTGGTTCCAAATCCTTCCCATCCTGGTCTCTGGGCTCTGTCAGCTGTGGGCTGTGTCCCACATCCAGCACCCGGACCCTCCCTGTGGCCGGGACCTTCCTACCCGTCTCATTTCACATCTCACTCCAGGTCTTTGTCTGGGTTGGAAAGGATTCTCAAGAAGAGGAGAAGACAGAAGCGTTGAGCTCTGGTGAGGACCGAGCGTGCCTGTGGGTCTGTGTCCTGTGGTGTGGTGGGAGCAGCTTCCCGCATGGGTCTGGGGAGTTCCTGACCAGAGCCATGGTAGCTGACCAGATCTGATTGGGGAGCTGGAACTCTAAAGCTGGTTCTTTACTAACTCCCAGTAGGGGAGAGCAGGAGTGAGAAATGATATAAACTTTGTGAAGCAGGAAGTTGAACTGTGACCCCTGTCCCTTCTGGGGCTCGCGGGCAGGGTGGTGGAAGAGCCATGTGGGGTCATTGCCCTTAAGGGATGGTGGTGTCTAGTGCGGGGACTGGGCATTGGAGACAGTAAGACCAGAAGCCTAGGCAGCTCCTGCCCCGAAGCACCTCTCCCTGGTTAAGCAGTCACTAAGGATTTCTGGGGTTTCCTTTTCCTGCACGTGTGTATCTACAGCTAAGCGTTATATCGAGACGGACCCAGCTAATCGCGACAGGCGGACCCCCATCACCATCGTGAAGCAAGGCTTTGAACCTCCCTCCTTCGTGGGCTGGTTCCTCGGCTGGGATGACAGCTACTGGTCTGTGGACCCCTTGGACAGAGCCGTGGCCGAACTGGCAGCCTGAAGGAGAGACCCCACCCCTGTCCCCGCTCAGTGCCTTTCCTAACAGTCCATCCGTCAGAGACCTTACAGCGAGCAGGGCCTCTCTGGTGTGTGTGAGTGTGTTTTTACTGTAGCCAAAAACAGCCACGTAAAAATTCAGGGTCCTTGCGAAAATTGTCTCAAGTATCTGTGCTTTTGGAAAATTGAATTCAATAAAGAGCTTTTGGAAGTATGTGAGCCTGCCGCGGCTCCGTCTGTCCTGGTGATTCTTCTGGAAGTGCCCAGGGAGGGGCCTTGCCTGTGCCCTTGCACCGGTGGATGAGCTGCACTCACGCTGGGTGGGAATCCTGGACCTTCGATAAGCTGATGCCAGGATGAGGTGGGACGTGCAGAGATGGCTCCAGGGGAATGGCCTGTGTGGAAGGGAATCGGGAGGGGGCCCACCCCAGATGGCTGTGTAGTCCAGGCAAGTCTAGCAGAGCTTGTCAGGGAATGCTTGAGCGAAAGAAAAAAAACAAAAAAACCCTAAAACCCAAAACAACCCACCCCCCAGAAGAAAAGCTTTTTTAATCGTATAGTCCCATTTTTGCCATTTTTTATTGTGGTAAACTACATATAATACTCATTTTGACCATTTGTAAGTGGCATTCAGTAGCATTAAATACATTTACGGTGTTGTGAGGTCATCACCACGATCTATACCCAAACCTTTTTCATATCCCCAGCATACACGGTGTGCCCATTACACAATAACTCCCGTTCCTCCCTCCTCTCTGCTCCTGGTAACCTTTATTCGACTTTCTGTCTCCATGAATTTGCCTTTTCCCATACAAAATTTGCCTTCTGTGTCTGGCTTGTTTCACTTAGCATAATGTTTCCAGGATTCATATACTTTGCAGCAAATACCAAAATTTCATTCCTTTTTGTGGCTGAATACTATTCCATTGTGTGTATACACCACATTTGGTTCGTCCATTCATCCATCGGTGGGCACTCAGGTCATTTCCACGTTCTGGCTATTGTGAACAAGACCACTGTGGACACAGGGGTGCAGATACCTGTTTGATTCAAAGTGTTCCTGAGCCACGGTCCCATCAGCCAGTGGAGGAGCTGCGCTCTTCCCAGGAGCAGCTGTGGTGTCTTATCTCCCCACTCCACACCGTCATCGGGAGGCATGGCTTTGGTGCACCTGTGGGGACAGAGCTCGAAGCCAGGGGCTGGGGCCCTTAGCCATTTGCATTCGCTGCCTAGAAGCCTGGACAAGGTGCATTCTCCCAGCCGTCATGCCCTGTAACTAATCTGCCTACACCTTCCTGGCTTCCTCTGCCTTCCACGAGTCATTCCGCTGCCCCAAAGCTATTTGGAGAAATCTCCTTGGCTACTGAAGTTACCATCACAGAAGGTGCCCCCGAAGGCTCCCAAAGCTGTGGGAGAGGGACTTCCTGTGTGCCCCACTTTGTCCCCCCGCCCAGGCCCTGAATCTCTGCTCACGCTCAGAGTGTCACAAAGTCCCTTTTAGACTTTTCCATGAGCTGCTTCTAGAGCTTTCCTCCACGGATGTTCCAAACCAGAGCAAGGAACTGCTGTGGAACGGATCGCTTTCCCTCCCCTCTATCCTTCTGGTCTTTTCTCCGCACGTTCTCCTCCCATTTTGTTCCGTGCCACCTCTCCTCCTGAACCCCAACTGTTACAGAGGGAGTCTCCCATTCCTGGGGCTGGGACGGAGAACACAGGCCAGTGTGAAGGTTTATGTGGTAGGAAGGGTGTGTGTGTGTTTACACTGCCATTTCCAGAGCTGCTGCTCACTCAGCTCGCCCAGGGAACTTTTTAAAAGCAGAGATGCCCCAGGGGCCCTACCTCCAGAGATTCTGATTCGTCACAGAGGTGACAAGGGGAGCGGAGAAGGAATTTTCCAGGTGAGTCACGGGGTGGGGCCCTTGCTTTTCAGGCAGACTGTGCAGCAAGTACAGAGGGAGTGATGAGGTAGAACAGTACGCTCAGGGACAGCCCGTAAGGCCGGAGCAGCCGGGGAGGGCTGGGCCTCCCATCTGAGAGGTGGGCAGGGCCCAGGGGAACCCCAACTAGTATGCGAAGGGATTTGGACTTGCTCTCGTAACTCCTGCCTCACCCCAAAGGGTTACTTTCACAAAGTGATCAACTTGACAAATGCAGAATTCTGGAACAAAAGCAGCATTTTCACCTGGGGCTTCTAGAACCTTCCATAAGAGGCAGGCGGAGGCCTGTCTAGACGAGCCAGCTCACATCCTAAAAACTTGTGGGAGGACGAATTGCAAGTAGACCTGCCCTGGAATTCATTTCCTCTACTGCCATTCAAGTTGGTTTATTGGCCAGTTTCAGTTTATTGGTGGCTGTGGTCTTTGACAGAGCTCCACAGTGCTCAGAGGACGCTGCCTGAGGCTACGGAGTCACTCACTCGGACTTCCTATTATCGCTCTCTCAAAGGCAAAATGGTGAATTGAGAACACTATCACATCAATCACATAGTTTCTCTTCCTAACAATTTTTGCCCTCAAAAAAGTGACCTTGTGTTCGGTCATCTACAACGTGTACATCACTGCGGTGGCCATGACAGGAGCCGAAGAGGCAGGCCTGGGCTTGGATCCTGTGTCTGACCTTGGGCCTGTGTCCGACCTTAGGTATTGGTTGTGTACTTGGGGCCAGGCAGTGTGCAAGGCATAGGGGATGTGACAGACCACTGGGTGACAGAAGGGAGTTCCTGTCCTGTTTGTATTAAAGCAAAGGGAAATTAAACTAGCGACGCATTCAGGGTATCCATGGATCTCAACCCCCCAGGGAAAATATGTGGGCAGGTGCAGCAGAGGGAGCCTAGACAAGAAAGACAACAGATGGACGATTGTAAGCTCTCCTCTTCTGGCCCATAAAGAGCACATGAAGAAGCCAACGCAGCCAGCCCAGGATGGGAGGCTCTCCCGGGCCACTTCCGAAAAATGAAGTCCACAGACACTAAATGCTGGCAGAAACAGACTCTCACCCAAAGAAAATGAGTACAAGTGCACACTTTATTATGTACAGCATTGGAAAGGGAGGCCATGTGGAAAAACCTCTTGCACCAACACACCCTAGACCCCTTTTATGCTTCCTCCCTCTCAAGCAATTTAATCCCACCCTACTGGGCTATGAATCCACAAGGCAGAGAGGTGAAGACTGGTATCTGTAAACAGGGAAACTCCAGGAGCAGAATGCATGGTTACTCTAAGCCTGAGAAGAGATTTTTCAGCCAGGATAAGGGGTGGTTTCCTGGTCCTTATGGGTCGCCACCTCACCAAAGAGATACAAGCATTATTTAAAATGAGTAACTTGAGTTCCTCAAGGAGGGATGTCTCCAGCCAGGTTTTCGGACCAACAGGAAGAATGCCATGTTGCCCAGATTCAAGAGCATTTGCAAAACTCAAAGCGCTTCCTATTACTGCAAAATAAGCAACTGTGGTTCAGAGGGGCTGACCACTTTCTCTTTAGGCATTGACATTAGTGACAGAAAAAGATGATTCTGCAAATAGAAGAAAGACCTAGATCCGTATGTATATCCTAAGTTTGACAGTGTCTTGCCAAGCTCATTGGTTATTATGTGCCCAATATACTGTGAATTCCTTACAGTATTTAATGAACGGGACTGATAACCAAAATATTTCACAGTGTACAAGAGTTAATAGCGTGCAGACAGTAAAAGAGAATGGCTTTCTGAAGACATTTTTTAAAGAAGTATTAGTCCTTAAGCTATTCGAATGGGTATATAAACAGTTGTTTATAGAACTTAGAGAAAGTGTCACTTAAAAAATCAAACTATTGAGAACCTGATGTATGAAAATAGGCAAAAGTGAGAAAAAAGCACTTTTTTTTTTTTTTAAAGATTTTATTTATTTATTTGAGAGAGAGAGAATGAGAGATAGAGAGCACGAGAGGGAAGAGGGTCAGAGGGAGAAGCAGACTCCCCGCTGAGCAGGGAGCCCGACGCGGGACTCGATCCCGGGACTCCAGGATCATGACCTGAGCCGAAGGCAGTCGCTTAACCGACTGAGCCACCCAGGAGCCCGAAAAAGCACTTTTGTGACAAGTATTTAGCTGGTTTGAAATACCACAGGGAAATCATTTGGTCGTAGAGAGGCTCAAAGAAGTTTCGAGGAAAAAAAGAAACATATTATTCTTAAAGGATTTTTGTGACGGTGGATTTACAAGTCATTCAAGGGTTAAGATCATCTTTCTCACTGACCTTGACCATTTCCTCCAGTGTTGGCCAGTACAGGCAAGAAAATGCCTCCTCCCGAGAGAGGATTATTTTGAAACATGGCCTGGGATTAGAAAGTAAACAGATGGCAAGAATGTTTCCTTAAGATTCCCCAGGAGTAAGGCACGTGTGGCCCAGAGAGGCTGGTCGTAGCCTAAGGTCTCTGCTTTCTGCGAAGCATTTGTCCAGCCAGGGTGTCAAGTGGCGGTTATAACCTATTTTCTTGCCTTTGGCCTGGCTGCAGATAGAGGGTGCAGAACGACCCAGTGAAAAGTCAAAAGAAGGGGGATTTAACCTATTACATAATGATCTAAATATATGAACTTTTAAATATTTTAAAGAGTAAGAAATTATCTTCTATAAATCAGTAGTCCCCTCCCCACACCCCTTCTCTTTCTCAGTATTTACAAGCTAACAATCTTTATCTGTTGCTAGGACCACTACACATTCTAAGAACCTTGCAGTCAACATATGGAAAAGGAGAGGAAGGAATATTTAGTCGAGGTCCCACCCTCCTCTCTCCTTACAGGATGAGGGCTGATTTGGTCCCCGCTCTACCCTGGAAGGGATGGGCGCATCTCTGCGTTGGCCTCTGCGGCTCACTGTTTTGCCCCCACGATGCCTTGCAACATGTCTATGGGCAGGGGGAAGACGATCGTGGAGTTTTTCTCAGCTGCGATGGTGGTCAGCGTCTGGAGGTACCGCAGCTGAAGGGCTGCCGGGGATTCGGTGATGACCATAGAGGCTTCTTTCAGAGCCCTGGATGCGTTCATTTCTCCCTCGGCTGCAATGACCTACAGGACAGGACCAGGGAGTGGTCAAAACGGAGAAAAAGGCAGCTGTCTTCAAACCCGGGTATGTACATTAAACCTTCCAGGGCCGAGCCAAAATGGTTTTAAGAAATCGGTTTCCAGGGGCGCCTGGGTGGCTCAGTCAGCTGAGCGTCTGCCTTGGGCTCAGGTCATGATCCTGGAGTCCCTGGGATCGAGCCCTGCATCGTGCTCCCTGCTCAGCGGGGAGTCTGCTTCTCCCTTTCATCCTCCCCCCTCTTGTGCTCTCTGTCTCATTCTCTCTCTAATAAATAAGTAAAATCTTTAAAAAAAAATTTTAAAAAAAGAAGTCGATTTCCAGTTACCCAGTTTCCATTTCTTTTTCCTCCATCTGATTTGCCTGAGTTCGTGCCTTAGGTCAAGATATCCTCTTTTACTCTGATCTTTCTCACACGCTTCAGGGGACCGGGCAAAGGGACAGTTCAAAATACTGTGTAGGGGTTGAGAGAGTGCCTAACGACTGGATACGAATCCTTTTGCAAGTCAAATGGATTTCCCGTTCTTTGACTGTTAAGAAAGGAAAGAGACCTTTCCAGAACTAAAAGCTGATGGTCACAAAAAAATAAATAAATAAAAAGTAAGTAAGTAAGTAAATAAATAAATAAAAGCTGATGGTCATTAAAAATATTTTTTGAGCGGCGCCTGGGTGGCTCAGTCAGTTGAGTGTCTGCCTTCGGCTTGGGTCGTGATCGTGGGGTCCTGGGATCGAGCCCCACGTCAGGCTCCCCACCCAGCGGGGAGTCTGCTTCTCCCTCTCACTCTACAGCTCCCTCTGCTTGTGCTCTCTCTCTAATAAATAAAGTCTTTAAAATATATATATTTTTTTAAGATTTTATTTATTTATTTGAGAGAGAGAATGAGATAGAGAGAGAGAGCATGAGAGGGGGGAGGGTCCGAGGGAGAAGCAGACTCCCCGCTGAGCAGGGAGCCCGATCCCGGGACTCCAGGATCATGACCTGAGCCGAAGGCAGTCGCTTAACCGACTGAGCCACTCAGGCGCCCCTAAAAAATATATATTTTTTGATGAAGATCGCTGTATGATTTTTTTAGCACATAAATTCAGAGGCAGTGCAAAGAATTGCATGGCGTGACTTTAAACAAAACTTGCATTTCTACCCACTTATTTATGTAAACAAAAGTTCTGACTCCTTATATCTATTAAATGAAAAAGTTAAGACTAGAATTGATGTTTAATCTTTTGGCAATAAGTAATAGCCAACTACGAAGATATGAATTCTTCATCTTGTTAAGAGAAGCATTTCTAGTAAAAAAAAAATTATTGAGGAGAAATTCTGAAACATTTAAATGCCTTGCTTATAGTCAAGGGAAATTTTTAAAAAATTAATTTTAACTTCGATACTAAATGTGTTGCAGTGGAGTAATAAAATAATTCATGACGAAATATATTGTATTAGGAAAAGAAATCCATGGAGGAGATGGAGTGGAAATATAAGTTCAAGGAAAAAAAGGGACAGTGAAACATACTCGACTATGAAAAACTTATTGACATATTTTAAATAGATGATGGAATCATTATGTTAGCTGAATTTCACTGGACACATTTAAAAGAATGATGTTCACAGGTTTAGTGTAAAATGTCAGTATTTAAAACATGCCGGGGATTATATGCCCAACCAAGTGTATCAATTCAAATGAAAATTTTTACAGGTCTATTTAAAATGTGTGATGGGAACATACAGTTTTTCTAAATTCTTTGAGAGGTTACATGAGCATAAAAGTTTGAACAGCCCTGGGGTGGTGGGGAGGCTCTGGAGCGAGACAGGCTTGAGCTCAAATCTCGAACCTAAACCCTTACCAGCTGAGTGTCCTCAAGGGGGTTATTTAACATTCTGAGCTCCGGTTTCTTATTCTTAAAATGGGACAGTACCTGCCTCCTTGGGCCATTGTTAGGAAGACAGAAAAGCCGTAGTACGTGTGGAAAGTATAAATGGAGGCCGTTGTATAGGAAGGCAAGTGGGAAGTCAAGACCCGATTTTTTGGATCCACCTACGCCTTAATGTGTACAAGATTCGGAAGCCGAATCAAGGCAGTTCCTTTTACTTAATCATCATCGGAGAAGAGGGGTGAAGATACCAGGATCCTCCAGCTTAATCGTGCAGTTCCACTAGGTGATTTTCACATGGATCTCAAAACATTCATGGTTCATAATACTCCCGTGAGAGTCAAAATCAGAAGCAGTGGTCTTAGGACCAGTGGAGTTACAACTCCTTACGTCGTTAATGTTGGGGCCTAGGGGTCAAGCCCTGTGCAGGAGCTAGGGGTAAGAGTGGACCTCGTCGCCTCCTTCAGCAACTGGTCAAGCAGGGGACACAGACATGGAGACAGACCACTTCATTCCAGCGTGACAAGTGTGGACAGAGATGGATACAAGGCACAGTGCCAGCCCTCAGAAGAAAGCAGTTTTTGCAGAAGGTGGAGTGGTGAGAGAGACGTTGAACAGGGCAGAACGAAAGCTTTGCTGTTTGGACAAAGATGAAGAAGGATACTTCAGGCAGCACATGTGGAAAGGCACCGAGGTATAAAAAAAAGCTGGTGTATTCCCAAAAAATGTAAGTGGGAAGGAATATGGCGTAAGGCCAAAGCGGAGGCAGGGATGCTTGGTCTGCAGCCTGTCGGCAGTGGGAAGCTGCTGAGGTTTCCAGCAGGAACCTCACCAGACCTAGCTGGAGAAGACACACTGACGGACGCCTGAGGACGGATGAGGAGAGAGGGACAAGGGCCAGGGGGACAGCCTCAGAGTGACCGGGGTGATGTGCCGGTAGTGGGGATGGAGGGAGGAATGGGCTGGGGGGCTATTCGGGAGGAAAGTCAGCAGTATGGAGGCTGACCGGGTACAGGGAGGGAGAGGAACAGAGGCAGGGGCCCAGGTTTCTAGGTTTCAGTTGCCTGGGTCGTCCCATTAGGTGAGATGGGGGTTATCGGATATGGTATTACCAAGAGAAGGCACTCAGTTTAGAGGATAAAAACCTTAATTTATCAGGATGTCCTATGTAGGTCTGTGAGAAGGGGCAAGAACCAGGTACACTCAAAGTGACTCACGTCCCTGTGCCCTAAAGCAGGCACTGTACATACAGAATGCAAAAACAGGCTCCTGCCCCGAGAACAGCAGGATCTAGCTTTTTCCGTGTCATCTCGGCCGATAAGGCACTTTTTTTCTTTTTCCTGGTCTGGACAAGGACCAACGGCAAGGCTATCTCATCTCCCATTACCAGTCAATGCACAGTCTCTTGGCTGGGCAGCCGGACCCACCAGGCTACGCACGCCATGTTGTTAATGGAAAAGCTGCTCTGGGCAGGCTGGCAAAGACGTGGGTGCAGTACCTCTGGCTCTGCCTAAACACAGGCCTCATAGATGCCGTGAATGGGATCTCAGAAAGCAGAGCCAACTACCTGTGGGGCGTGGGGCCTCTGCCAAACGCCCAGCAGCCCCATGTTGATCAACACTTCGTCTCAACAGACCATCACTTGCGAGTCGGGCATTTTCAGGTATGTGAGGTTGGTACTGTTGTCTCTTCCAGAGCCCAGGCGGGCTGGTCTGAGAAGGGCAGAGAAAGGGCATCTGCGTTTCTGCACTCCACTCTCCCAATTAATAGATAACTAGGCCCGGGAATATGAGCCTGAAAGCACATGCCAGGCCTTCTTTTGAGAGTTATGAGAAAGGAAATCAGGAAGGATGCAAGCAGAAAAGGTATTACATCTCAAGCCATTAAGAGCTGGTCTAAGCACTTGAGAAAGAGGTTCGGCTAACGTGCTGTCAAGCTTGCAGGAGAATCTGTCCTCTTTTGTGCCCGGCTCCTTTCTCTCAAACCATGTTTGGGAGCACTTGGACGTTCATTCTCTTCATTGCATGGTGCTCCTTCGTGTGAATAAAGCATACTTTATCCATTCAACCGCAAGGGACATGCGGGCAGTTTCCAGTTTGGGGTAATATAACCTGTTGTGAACACTCTGGTACAGGCCTTTCTGTTGGACACGGGCTGCCACCAGATGGTGTTCCAAAGCGGAGGCACCAAATTTACAGTCTCATTAACAAAATAAGAGCACCAGGTCCTCCCTCACCCATACCCGGTTCTTTCCCTTTTCTTTCTTTCTTTCTTTTTTTAGACCCATTCTGGTGGATATCTAGTGTGGCATCTGCTTGTGATCTGAATTTGCATTTCCCTGATGGCTAATTAACTTGAGGAATTTCTCTCTGAAGTCTCTTAGTCTAGAGGCTCTCCTACCCTTTTCGTTCACAATTTATGTATTGAAGAAACAGACTCCCTATTTTCCATGAGAACCTGAATATATGATTTTGAATTTTTGGCCTTATGGTGGTTGCAGGGCTGCTGTATTTTACGGAAGGGAGAGACTCCTTGGGATTCTATGTGTTCACCCTAATTTTAAAAACAGTCACTGCCCAGGTCCACGAGAATATTCTAGATGGTCCCTACGGTCTCATCCAAGTGGGATCACAGTAATTCAGCATTCTAACCGGCTTCCTCTATCTCTTCCCATTGTTATCAGGGATTCTCTTTCCTAGCTGGTGAGAACACCTGCAAAGAGGCTCTATCCATCACGGGAAGTCCAGAGGAGGCAGTGAGGAGCAGAGGGGAATTCTAATTTTTAATTTCTACGGCCACTCATCAACTCTGTGGCCTTGAGGAAATCACATAAATTTTCTGGGCTTCAGTTTTCATCAGAATAGTGGGATGGCAAATAAGTTTCATTTTTAGAGCCAATTCCAAGCAGTTGGGGCTTGTTACCTGGAGGGCAATAGGAGGATTCTGAGGTCAAAGCTTAGACTCAGTGGAAAACAGTGCTGTGGTTAATTACCAGCAGGGGAATAGGAGGGGGGAGGGGCAGCATCTGGGCCAGGTTATTTGTCACCTTCTGAAGGTAATCTCTAAGGACTTTTCAGGCTCTGACATTCTAAATCATCCCTGTATGATAAGTTCCATTCGATATGGCTTGGAAATGGGGCTGTTGGTTAATGACATATTCTAGGTAAAAGCAATTCCTAATTTTCAAAATACTCATTAGATTATAGCAGGTCATATTTAATGTTACCAGAAATACCACTTAGTTTTCTAACTGTGATGACTTTGAGAGAGAGAGAGCACTTGAGGGTTCTGTAGTATTACCAGGTTGTCCTCATAAGCATTAATTATCACGTTAGAAAAACCTAACAATTCTGGTTAGTAGAAAATTCTGAGCATAGTGTGTCAAAGGAGCTACTATTCCATTTGGCGCTGGCTAAGAAATTATAGTGCCTGATTTGCAGCTTAAAGGGCTTCCTACTAGAAGGTTAGGGTTCGGCACTTAGCCAATTATCTCCAGCTACTACTATTTTCCAACAAAACAACAAACTGGTTTGCTCCTTGAGTCTTAGGAGATCTGTCAAGTCCACAGCAACCCCTCTGATGCGAACTGACTCTCTTCCTCCACCCATTCATATACGCACAAGGGGCTGTGGGACCTTATTAATATCTGACTTTGTCCTTTTGACTAAATTTTGACCAAAGAAAATCTCTCTGCTGTGAATTTGGAATCAAGGCTGGTCTGTCCCCTTTAGTGTTCAACTGGGGAGGCGTGTAAACTTGAGAGTCAGACGCTCTGCCCTCAAGCTGTCAGCAATGAGGTGGGGCCCAGGCGATGGAATGATTAGCTCCCTTCAGTCTTGACTGCACTGCGGTCCCTGGCTCCAACTCTGGAGACTTGAGTCTGCTTCCCAACCTTGGTTTTGGCGAGATATCCCTGTGTTCTTAGGTATTAGCTCCAGAAATCCTCTTTCCTGGGTTAGATTAATAGATATTTCCTCGATACCCCACCTAGGGGGCATGCATCCATGGGGGCTCCAGAGGTAGGCAGAAAGAGGGGAAAAAGCAGACATCAGAGAAAGAGGAGTGAGAAGAAGTTAAGAGGACAGAGAGGAAGAAGATCCTGAGAAAAGAGAGAATGAAAGAGAAGACAAAGATAGTGAAGGAGGGGGGCCTGGCTGGCTCGGTCGGTAAAGGGTGCGACTCTTGATCTTGGGGTTGTGAGTTCGAGCCCCACACTGGGTGTAGAGATGACTTAGGAAAAAAAAAAATAATAAAATCTTTGAAAGAAATAAAATAGGGAAGGAATGAACGGTAAGCACACTGACGGGACTGCCCAGCTGCTCTGACGTCAGAACTGTTAATTTGTGCTCAGCGGTGGACCAGTAACATGAGTGTGGGACACGCAGTCACAGAAGAATGAGGTGGCTCTGCACGCACCGCTGTGCTCACAGGATGTTGTTCAGTGAAACGAGCAAGGTAGAGAACAACAGGTATGGTACTCGACCCTACTTTCGTAAAACAAACAAGCCAGCAGTCTAACACCCTCATCAGGTAGAGCCCCAGTATATCACTAAGCTGGGGGGGATGTGGCTGGAAGCGACAGGGAGGCTTTCAACTTGACTCAACGCTTTAGGATTACGTCCATTTTTATAACGACAATGTTTTACTGTTTTGTAATTAAGAAAAAAACTCAATAGGAAAAACAAACTATGGAAAGAAAGAAAAAGAAAAAGAAAGAGAAGAGAAAAGAAAAAAGAAAAAAAAGACAAGACAAGACAGCAAGGCTACCTTGGCACGGGCCTCCCGGGATGCTTCTGCCTCTGCAGCCATAGCTCTCTGCAGCTGCACAGGCAGCTTCACGTCCTTAATTTCCACGCGCTCCACCTTTATTCCCCAGTCATCGGTGGCATCATCCAGGGTACACTGTTCGGAAGAGAGAAGGCCAGCGAAGAATGCTCAGCCCAGCCCAGAGGCCGACGGCAGACCCCTGGGCTGGGAGCGGACAGGGCGCTGGGGGAGAGCCGGGAGAGAGGCTAGTTATCTTCTGCAGGGGCCGAGGCCCCGGGGAGCTGACCCTGGTTCCATTACTAAGAAGCTCATGCAGGGGTTGGCAAACGTTTCCTCAAAGGGCCAGACAGTGATTGTTTTCAGTCTCTCTTGCAACTATTTAACCGGGCCGATGTGGGTCAAAAGCCACAGGGATGGCTGTATCCCAGTCCCACGTCACTAATAAAAGCAGGTGGTCAGCTGGCTCCTGATCTAATGTGACTCCATGTAAGCCACAGCGCTTCTTCCTGCTTCAACTTCGTCCCTTTACAATGGGAGGAACGAAACCTTCCTTTGTTTCCTACGGTGGTTGTGCGCATCAGCTAAGGTCATAGATTTGACACACGATGATGTTTATACAAATAACAAGATCTTGGATTTTAGTCCTTTATCTTCTTTGAACAAGTCAGGTTTAATTCATAATCTATTACTCTAGAAAGCTTGGGACGCATATGAGTTACAAGGAAAGTCATGGGACTCGTGCAGAGAACAGAGCTTTAACGACACCCACACGGTCTTGCAGAATGGCCTCGGAATTATTACGCTAAAGAAAAAAGGTTAATGCTAATTCTGGGGAAAAAAAAAAAAAAACCTTACACTGAAGGGAATAAAAATACAATTCATGCATCTGAGCTGTTAACCCATGAGCTATTTGTGTGAAAAATATTCCCTTCCATAGAGTTTGAGAAAACCTTTCTGTGAAGAGAAAAAGGCCGGCCAGTGATCCCCCCACCAGTTGGAATTAGTCAAGTTGTCAAACAACCACTAACGCTTGACTTCATCTTTGAATTTCTGGGGACTCACAGCCTCACCTGCATGTTGTGTGCAATCTCTTCTCTGTCGGAGAGGATCTGGGAAAGGTTCTTGGTGCCCAGGACGTTCCTCAGAGTCGTTTGTGCCAAAAGACGGGTTGCCGAGTCGGCGTTGGTGATATTCGCCACGGCCAGGGTAGCATTCTGAACGCGGTAATAGACCACGCCATCCACACTGATGGTCACCGAATCCTTGGTGAGGATCTGTAATAGAAAGAAAGCCATTTTACACCTGCCAACCAACTCCTTCTTTAATATAAGTGTAAGCAATGTTATTCTATGGAACATCTTAAGACATCGGCTGATTTTCTTTAGTAAGTGCTATTGACTAAATGTGTGCCCTCCAAATTCAGACACTGAACCCTAACCCCCCATGTGATGGCATTAGGAGGTGGGGCCTTTGGGATGTGATTAGGTCATGAGGGTTGAACCCTCACGGTCATCTATGGACAAGAAAGCAGCCCCTCATACAGGCTCTGAGTCTGCTGGTCCCCTGACCTTGGATTCTAGCTTCTAGGATGGTGAGCAATATATTTCAGTCGTTTATGAGCCACCCAGTGTATGGGATTTGGTTATATCCGCCCGAATGGACTAAGGCAACAAAGCATCCGAAAGCTAATGATGCCTTTAGAATTTTAATAAAATACATTCACTTATTCATTAATTCCTTCAATCATTCAACAAATTTTGAGACACCACTCCATAGTAGGCACTTTCAAAGAGGGTGGGGAATCAAGGGAGCCTTGATGGGACAAAGGAGGGGCAGTTGTCGGGGGCAGGGGTGATACTTGAACTACGTCTTGAAGGAAGAAATAATTTCCCGAGGGCGGTGGGAGAGTATGCGAGGCAGGGAACAAAATGCACGAAATGGCACGGCACTGTGGCAGAGCCTGGGCTTGGTGAACTCTCTAAGGCAGTACAGTGAAGTCGAACAAAAAGGGAATGGGGGCTGTTGTTACAGGGTGAGGTCAGGTCATGTCCTGCTTTCCAGGACACGATGAGTCAATGCTTCTTCCTCCCTCCCCCCTTCAGGGCGGCTCCTTAGTTTGGCTGACAAGTCCTCTGACTGCTGGCCCTTTGGCCTCACTCCTTGCTGCTCTTCCTCCCGCACACACACTGCACAGGACAAGGTGTAGGTTCCCCGAGCACCAAGTTCCGTGTCCCAGGCATTCGTGCAGGTGTCCCCGCCCCTCCTCTTCCTCACACCAGCAGACTGGCACACGATTACTCATCCAAGACACAGCTCAAGTGTCTTTTCCTCTGTGAAACTTTCCTAACCAGGCAGGGTTAACCACTTTTCCCTCGGCACCTAACTGCAGTGACTCTGTTGCTGGTTGGCCTCATTGCTTCTCTACTGGGCCATGCATTTCTTGAGGGCAGTTTGTCTTTGTTATCTCTAGCAGTGGTGGAGTGTTAGATACATAGCAGGTAGCGAATAACCGAGAGATGAACTGAAACATGATCCTAGGAATACAGTGATTGAGGCAGAGCGTGGGAGGGAGGGTCAGGACACCTGTACCTCCCTTGGTGATCTCTAGTGAGGCTCTTAACCTGCTTGACCTACAGAGTCTTCACCTGTGAGATGGGGCTAATAATGCTGCCCAATTCTATGCAAACGGTCTGCCAATTGCTTTGAAGTTGAAGATTCGGTAGAACAAGGAGGCTCTTTTCAAAGCGTAAAGGGCTATGTAAATGGCAGGTAGTAATGACAATGGTGTTCTATAGCAGTTTAGTCCCTGTCAGGCAGGAAAGCAGTTATCTTTTTTTCTGATAATCTAAAAATACTTCTAGTAACGTATCACCATCTTTGTGTGAAAATGAATTATTTCCCATGATGTGATAGGAAAATGTGTATCCTTTCTAAACAGTCTCTTGCCCCCGTGACTGCCACAGCCAGAGGTTTCGACAGCTGCTACTGTTCATCGTTGGCGGAGTATTTCTCTTCCTTCATATTATGTTCACAGGGGGTCGCAGAAAGGACTGCTCGCCAAGTGCCATTCCGCTGCGAGTCAGAGGCCCAGGGCAGAGGAGAGAGCAGCCGGAAGGAGCGGCTTACGGCAAGCCTGCCAGATGTCCGCCACCTTTATCGAGGATATCAGGACTCCCAGCTACCCTGCGAGGGGCTCCTTCCAAGGCTCAATCTTCTCTGAAAGATGGGAAAACATGCAGAGAATACAGCACGCCTCTTAGCCCTGTTCTCGTGGGTAAAAGCAATTCCTGGTGTCCCTACGTGCATGTGGATGATAAAGTCTGACCTCATCGCCCACTGCTTGGATTGGCACCAGCAAGGAGGTTCCTATGCTGGTTCCTGGATTTGGGGACAAGAGAAGGCAACCAGTGCGGCCCGGCTCCACCACCCTGCTGTGCACCTGGTCTCTGGCCAGGAAACACTTGACACGATTCTTCTGTCCCTCCCTTCATCCTGTTTCCAGGCTTTCTATCTGCCTCGGCGATAGTGATGATCCCTCCCCGGACATGCGGCCCAGGATGGCCCTCACTGTCCCGGGCTTTGACGGAGTGAACGTCGGGTGCATTTAGCATGGAGCTGTGGGAAAAGCCCTCGGTGAGGAACCCACAGAGCAGACCGTCGCTCTTGGCTCTGCCACTCTGGTCTGCTGGGATCCCTCTGCCCTTCGGCAGTTACGGATCCTGCGGCGAGTTTCAACTGTGACATTCCTTGCAAAGTTGTTTGAAAGAGCATGGAGAAATTACTACTATAGGGGCGCCTGGGTGGCTCAGTCGTTAAGCGTCTGCCTTCGGCTCAGGTCATGATCCCAGGGTCCTGGGATCGAGTCCCACATCGGGTTCCCTGCTCTGTGGGGAGTCTGCTTCTCCCTCTCCCACTCCCCCTGCTTGTGTTTCCTCTCTCACTGTCTCTCTCTCTCTCTGTCAAATAAATAAATAAAATCTTAAAAAAAAAATTACTATTAAAAACATTGTATGCTTTATCTAAAATGTCAAATGAGCAGCTCCTAATTCTTTATCTAGAATACAAACAGGAACCTTAAGAATATTGTACTAAGCTGGATTTTCTATCAGAAACCCACAGCAGAGAAATGTGGCAGTCAAAAGGATGACAAATATGATAATGCTAACGTTACGCTATGCTTGGTAATAATAAGCACGGATGTAGCACCTACTGTTTATCAGCCACTATTCTAAGCACTTTACACATAACGTCTCAGTCCTCACAAGAACCTTCTAAAGTTAAGTCCTACTGGGGCACCTGGGTGGCTCAGTCGGTTAAGCGTCTGCCTCCAGCTCAGGTCATGATCTTAGGGTCCTGGGATTGAGTCCCGCATCGGGTTCCCTGCTCTGTGGGGAGTCTGCTTCTCCCTTGGCCTCTCCCCCACCTCTGGCTTGTGCTCTCTCTCTCTCAAAAAAAAAAAAAAGTAGGTCCTACTATTATAACCTCTAATTTTACAGATGAGGAAACTAAGGCACAGAGAGGTTAAGGAACCTGCTCAAAGTCACACAGCTAGAAAATGGTGACAGCAGACAGGCTCTACACCTGTGCCCTCACCACCACCATATTCCTGCTCTCAAGGCCAGCTACTTTCACACGTGACATCTGTTACTGAGGGCAAAAGCCTGTCACCTTACCTCCTGAGGAGGAATGTCAAATGAAATGGTTCTCATGTCCACCTTGATGAAGCTGTCAGTGCAGGGCAGAATAAAAAACAAACCTGCAACAAAGAAACACAGAACACTAGGGAGAGACACCGGCGCCTCGTCCGTTCACTCTAATTCTCAACGTAGCCCACGGAAAGAAGCCAGTTCACCTCGGTGCACGAGCCCGCTGCCAGGAACGCCGTCCTCTTGCTGGCGCCCCCCACCTAACTGCTGCCTCCGAGGCCCAGGATGTCATCTCCTGAGTCCACTGCCACTGGCTGTCTGGTTTTCACTTAGGCCAACGCAATCCTTCCCACGTCTTTCTGGGCCTTCCAGGGTCTCTCCTTTGACCCACTTTCTCAGCCGCAAGCCCAACAATCTTTCCTGACCTACGGACCCCTTAATGTGCCACACAAGGTCCTGCAGGACCTGCCCCAACGCCCCTCTTCGGCCACTCCCCTCTCCTCGAGCTCCATGCTCTCGCTGGGCTGAGCGACCTGCAGGCCCCTGGGCCGCCATACTCCCCTCGACATGGCTCTGCACATGTTGTGTTTCTGCTGGGAACACCGCCCCTCTGGCCAACACCTCTCCATGCCTCAAGACTCGGCCAAGATGTCACCTCCAAAGCCTGGTCTCATCCTCCCACTCAGGGTCCATCACCTATCTCCAGGTTTCCACAGCTAGCTGCAATGACTCGGCCATAGTACTTAGCACATGGGATTGTAACCGCTTCCTTTTTGGCGTCTACTAGACGGCAAGCTCCTTGAGGGCAGGAGCTATAATCTAGTCTCCCTTGAGTTCCCAGAGCCTGGAACACAGTAGGGGCTTAAGGGAAGTTGGCCAAAAATAAGGCACAGAGAACAAGATCTAGAAAGCCTTCAGCGAGTAGAAATTCTCATACTCCAACTTCCACGGCTGTGGCTATTCTTGGCCTAAAATAATCTTATCAGCGGGGATGGGAAGAGGAGGGGAGCCAGGGAAGGAAAGGGTGACCGTAGCAAGACTGGCCAGCACCACCGCTATTGTTACACGGCTTCTGTTACAGGCATTCTTTCCCAAGTCAACACAGAAGGGACCCACATAAGGGAATTCACATCAACAAGAGGAAGAATTTCAGTCTCCAGGCCACCCACCCAGAATTCTAGTACTGACCAGGTCCTTTTGCTCCTCCTTGTAAAATGCGACCCAATCTAAAGATGATGGCTCTTTCATATTCTTTTATGATCTAGATTAAAAACACAAACAATAATTGAACATGAAGAATACAAATATCTACATATGCCAGATATTTACAGACAGCTTCTTAAATATATATTCTGCTCTAAACAGGTTAGATGCCTCCATGTTGCTTTTGCTCTAAAGTCCGAACAGTCTCAGGGCACCTGCCTGGCCCAGTCTTAAGGGCATGTGACTCTTGACCTCGGGGTCATGAGTTCGAGCCCCATGTTGGATGTAGAGATTCCTTAAACACATAAAACTTAAAAAGAATAAAATAAAATCCAAACAGTATCTATAAATCACATGTCCAATGTTTAATTACCAAGCACAATACGTATTTACTATTTTTTTATCTGATTATAAAAGTAATAGATACTCACTGCATACAATTTGGGAAGTATAGGGTAGTATATAGGAGCAAATCCTTTACTCCTCAGCTGTTAACAGAATCATTCAGTTACTCATGCATTGTTAATACAGAAAAAAATCAAAACAACAATAACAAACAACTAAATTCCCCATGGTTTGTCTCCCAATTCCTTAAATTATAATAATAAACTTATCTGAAAATTCTTGGAGCATATTTTACCTTCTTGGGAATATGTAAATGATAGTTATTTATTGAAGTGTTAATAACTTTATGGAAAAAATAACCAGCAACTGCGGGGCCCTTGCCATATGCCAGGCATTGGGATAAGTATGTTTAGATACATCATTTAACCTCGCAACGGCCCTATGAAGTGCGTGTTGTCACTTCCTCCCATTTTACAGGAAGGAAACGTGGCAAAGGTCACACAGTGAACAATGGAGCCAGGAGCCAAACCTCAGTGTGGACAGGACCACCCCACATCCTTGATCTCAGAAGATTTCGGATGGGGGTCCTTACTCTAACCTCTGAGGAGGACTGCCTGGACCATGGCTGAAAGGAAGTCCCCAAATTCCATTACAGTAGGTGACTAGAGGGAATTTTCCAAGGGAGAGATGAAGGAAAAAGAATTCAGGCCAGTAGGTCTCTCTCTCTCTCTCTCTCTCTCTCCCTTTTCCACACACATACACACAACGCGTGCTTTTGTGGTGAGGGGCTGACCCCTTTGCAGATGGAAGTGACGTATTCTTTACCTTTATGCACATCCATATCGATATGGGGAAAGTTATAACCGTGAACAAGAACGAGACAGCCACCAAAACCCAGCCACAAGGCCCAAGGCCTGTACTGGGGCTATCTGTGAAAACAAAAAATATACAACTCTTGTCATTGTTGTTAGTACACCCCCACCATGTTTATCCTCTGTTCACCGAACACACCAATGCTTGGCATTCTACCACCGTTTTACCTGGATTTTCTCATCTAATCCTTGTAACAACCCTGAAGTGCAGGTGCTATTTTTCTCATCTACTTAACATGACCAGGATTTCCCACATTATTTTTTATCCTGCAAACATGTATTAGGCACCTGATATTTATTATGCCTTGTGCTCTGCACTGAAGTGGTAAAAGTGAGTAAGACGCAATCCTAGCTATCAGGAAGGTTCAAGTTCAGTGGACAAGACAGACAGATAATTATAACATTAGGTGGTAAGTGTCTCGACATAGACCATAGAGCATTTTAGAAATGCAGAATAGGGTTAACTTACACATCTGGGACAGAGATGGCAGTGGGGTAGGGTGGGTAGGTGACGGGGGTGGCTGTCAGAGGTGCGTCTGGAATGGTCAAGGAAGATACCAAAAGGGTGGGGAAGGAAGGTAAAGAGCATTTAAGCTGAGGGAATAGCTTAACTAAAGGTGAACTGCACGCTATTTCACTGGGCATGTGCACCATAATTTATTACCCTTTCCTGGATGATTAGACATGCTGTTTTTCTGATTTCTTAGGATTATTAACAATGTATCATAAACATCTTTGTACATAGTTTTCCTCTCACTTTCTAATTGCTTCCTTTCCTGCAACATGAAATCGCTCTTTTTCTTACTAGGAAGGATACACGCCCCGCTGCAAGAATTTCAGAAGAGTATAAAAAGGGGGAAATTATTCAATCCAGAGATGATGAATATTCTTCCAAACCACACAATTTTTATAAATAAAATCTGTTAATTATTTTTCTTCCCTCTATGATTCTCACCTTTTTTAGCCTTTGTATTTATTTGAGAGAGAGTGCACAAGCGGGGCCAGAGGGAGGGAGCAGGCCTGCCGCAGGGCTCAGTCCCAGGACCCTGAGATCATGACCTGAGCTGAAGACAGATGCTTAATCAACAGCCACCCAGGCGCCCTGCATCTGTGCTTTTTCTGTTTTAATTTTTTATCAGTTATACTTGCACAAAGTTTAAAAAGTCCCAAAGTTCTCCAAGATCAGTATAAAAAGAGAGCAGTCCCCTGTTCACCTCTTCCAGTTTCCCTTTCTTCAAAGGCAACTGCTCTGTTGGCTGAGTATTTTGGTCTATCCTTCCCTGTTTCTAAATAATATACTGGTTTTGTTCCTTGTTGCTTTCTCGCTTTTGAGCATTACTTATTGACTCTCCACTATGGAAGAGGATTTAGCTTCTCCCCCACCCCATAAATATACCCATCCTTCTAATTATATCATCATTTTGGTTAGGTCATTATCAAATTTTCCACTTCATGAATATGTAAATGCCATTCAAAGCTAAGCCAGGTTAGGGATGTCAAATTCGTTTTTCCATCCCATACAACTTTGTTTTTCCTCCAATGTCTTGCTTTTTTCCCATATTGATTCAACCTCAAACCTCTCATCAATGGTCTAAATCTCCTCTCACGAGGGTCAGGTGTTCTACCAATTTCCTCTTCTAAAAGAGCGTCTCTTGGAGGGGCGTCTGGACTTGCTCTCTTAGGTGGTGTGAGCAGCTGGTCCGGGGACCACCCTTTCCTACCATCCTGGGAAACCCCCTTCACTTCCTGGCTTGTGTTTTCCACTTTCGGTATCCAGTGACTTCCTCACTTTTAGTTTGTTTTTCCTCTCTGAGGAGGGTGGAGGGACCAAGAAGGCCAAGGGACACTATCACTTTTCTTATGGACCACAGAAAGCTTCTGCAGTATTTCCAGGAACTGTCTTGGTAATGAGAGGGAGATTGGCAAGGGGCGGGGGAGGGGGGGGAGAGGAGGCAGGCCAGGCAGTGGTTAGGGCTTGGAAGGGCAAATATGGCAGTGAGGCAGGCCTTTGAATCCACAGAAGGCCAAGAAATAAGCAGAGTTGAGGCGGAGAGCATGGGAGAGCGACACAAAGTGGCATCCAGGTCAAGTGCTCTGAAACGCAGGATGCAAGACCAGAAATGTTACAGATAACTTTGTGATTTTCACACTGTGTCACAGCATGAGGTAAACGTCCTATGCATACTTGACTAAAAGGGCTCTAAGTTAATCTCCCGGAGGTTTGTAAGTTACGGTTTGTGGGGTTGTCGACATATTTACTGAGAGGATATTCCAAGCAGGGACCCAGTGCTGCCTGCGCAGAAGGCTCCGTCAGTCATCATCACGACTGATGATCACGATCACAGCACCCACTTGTTGACAGTATGTTGTAGGCACCGTGTTCAATTACTTGACATGTGTATCTCCTTCATTCTTTACAAAGCCTGTGAAGTATTTTTTTTTAAAGATTTTATTTATTTGAGAGAGAGAAAGGGAGAGAGAACACAAGCAGGGTGAGAGGCAGAGGGAGAGGGAGAAGCAGACTCCCTGCTGAGCAGGGAGCTTGATGGGGGACTCAATCCCAGGACCCCGGGATCATGACCTGAGCCGAAGGCAGACGCTTAATGACTCAGCCACCCAGGCGCCCCAAGTATTTTTAATTCCATTTTACAAATGAGGTAACTGAAGCCACAAAGCTTTCCCAAGACCACATGATGGAGGAGGACCTGGGATTCAAACACAGGTCATCCTACCCCAGAGCCCATGTCCTAAGTCAATTCACTCCTTCGGTCCTTTGTCTCTGAATTAAAAAATCCTCATGAAGGAAGTTTTCGTGTTTGGAGCACTTTCTCAAGACAGTATCCAAACCGGGAAAGCATGGTAGGAGTTCCGAGAATGAAATCTGATAGTCCTACAGAGGAAGGCCTCTTAATTCCAGCTGTGCCTATTTATAGCAAAACAGTCTCAAGGCTGGTGGCCAGGCTCAGGTCTAGGCTTCCAAAGTGAACTGGATTCCAAACAAGGAACAGACTGGCCACAAATACTTCTCCGACAGCATTTGGTGCCTTCTAAAATACTGCCCCAAGCCGCCTATTTCCAGGCAAAGTTCATAGCTCTGGGTCCTGACCGTATTAGACTATAAACTCTCTGAGGGCAGCGATGTTTCCTATTCTCCTTTCCTATTCTTCTTCCTATTCCAGTCCAGTCTTTTCTCATGTGTACCTGTGCATATGTGTGCATGCACTCAGTTTCCGTGGTGACATTGTGTTTTGGAAAGCCCCACATGAACCCATGGGATTACAAATGAGGAGCAACAAGAAATGAAGCGGAGATCCTAAAAACTGGGCTTGGTCTTTCACATCTCAAATGCTCAGCTAGAAGTAATCAGTGCATACAGTGGGGATGGCACCATTTCATATTATTCTGGTGCCTAAACTATCCCATTCTCAAGCCTTCAAATTCTTCCCCATCTGGTTATTATAGCTCCTAAAGGTACACAAATCACATTCCTCAGAGAGGTGAGGCTTCAACCTCACCAGGCTCTTAGTGAACCCTTCGTCCTCTACCATTTATGGGCGAAAGAAGAGAAATTCTCTGTTACTCCCCCAGATTTCATGAAATTCATTCCGTTCAAGTTTCTAATTCATTACCTTGAAGATTGGATCCTCCCAACCAGCTGTATGAGGTAAAAGACAAATAATGAGCAATCAGCATTCCTGAGATATACTGGTTGATATTGCTGGGTAGGAAAACTCCTAAAGATTAGTGATCCCATGACACTTGGTTGTAAATACTACTTGGCCACGGTTAATTTTTTTCTTTTACTACCAACTCTTCTGAAAACTGCATTAAATTTTTAACTAACCAAAGCAAGGTTTTGAAAATGGATGTAAGTTTATACAATCAACACTGTTTAACTCAATATTCAAATTGGGCTTATCTCCAGGGAACTGACATAAATTTTAAAAACCATTGCTTCTTTTCTCTTATTTTAAAAGCAAAGTACTGTCTCTATAAAAATTAGAAATTATAGCTAAAGAAATTAAAAAAGAAAAATTATCTATACTTTCATTATCTCTAGATGGCAACGATTTTTCTGCCTTGCTACATGTCCTCTAAACCTTTCCTATCCTGCTTTTTTTAAAAAATGAAATAATGGTATACATAATAACTTTGAATCTGCTTCCCCTCTATATTGTGAACATCTTTTCATGTCACTACATATTCTTTATTACTAAAGGTTGAATAATATCCCATTATTCCATGGACCTAATGAACATTTAGGTTATGTCCAATTTTCTCAAACTCTGCTGCATCGCATATATGCTTAGCAAAATTTCCATGCATTTTTATTGTGTAATCTAATTTTGCTGAAAAGATGAAATTGTGTAATTCTTAAATTTCTCATTCTGGAGGTATCTTTAATTATTACTAATAATAGCCATTTATTGAATGTCTATCACATGGCAGCCACAACTGGATTCCTTACATACCATCTTTCCAATATTCACAAAAATCTGTAAAGTAGGTATGAAATATTCTTCCTGCAGTCCCAGAGTAATAAAGCAAATGACTTTCTGAGCTGAGACAGAAGAAAACAAACAAAACCACGAAACAAATGAAAACAACAACAACTTGTATGGTAATTTTTGTTGGGTTAGCTTCCAAGAGAGCAGTAAAATAATCTTTTTCCAGAGGATAACACAGGCATGATTTCAGAGTACTACATGTTGTTAATGATACAGTATCAGCTGATTTACTAAAAGGTCCACTAAACTTGGCACTGCTGGAAATCATGTACAATAATAAATTCCATTTATCGTTGAGATTTTGTTCTAATGTTCAAAGACTAGATTTCCTCTTCAGGGAAAGGCCAGAAAGGTCTCACACAGTGTCTGAAAATCTAACTCAAGACTCGTTTGCATTAATACACACAAAAAGAAAAAGATGAGCCCAAGGATTGTTGCAATGCCTGAACAGCAACATTTAAGGGCAATCTTTTCTCTCCCCTTTCCCAGAACGCGAGTGAAGCACTTCACGTCTTCGTGCATTGCCAAGAACAGTGCTGTCTGGGTGGG